GCAACGCAACGCGTAAAAATACAGTATAAGTCATTATAATCCATAATTATGTCCCCACGACGCAACGAATGCCTCGTTTATAATGGGTTTTCATGTTTTTTGTCTTGTCGCTCCGGGAGACGGCATCAACAGTATGGTGAGGGGTGTAACATTTCCGTCTCACGCTTGAGGTATTCGGCCAATCACAATGCACTGAATAGCTGGCCAATCACAGCTCACCTCGCTTTTTCAGACCGATGAGCTTTGTAAAAATCGACGCGTTTCAAAAAGGCGGGGCATAGAGGAGAAACAATAATGTACAGTATGTGGAAAATAATGCGTTTTTTTAACTTTAAACCGCATAAACACATTTCATTACACCAAATACACAAAATAATGTTCTTTTTAGCAGCATCATATGACCCCTTTAACAAATTTGGTCTGTTAAGAAACTTTGCCATGTGAAAGCGAACCGCACCAAGAATAAAAGCAACATTGTAATAATTTGAATCCCGGTTTCGGAACAAAGCAATCGATCTACAGGTGTGAAAGCACCCTTAAAGGCACGCCTGTTTCGATTCCCCAGAAATCTGATTTAATTACAGCATACAGACGAAAAGCATGCGGAGAGCCAAACACCACCACACCCGGAACCGCCCGATGGACATTTTACATTCATTAGCATTAATAGACAACTGATCTTCTCTAGCAGCTTACAAGATACTGGATCATGGATGCAGGGATTTTCTCTCATGCAGTCACAGGAGCATCAGTGGTGTTGGAAGACTGGGGTCTGACTCACAACAGTCTTCAGATCTGGGCAGACCAGTCAAATTCTTCCACAATAGACTCACTAATCTACTTCACTGATGACATAGCAGTGGCACACTGAGCCACTGTACACTCCATTCTATTTAAAATATTTGTCGAAGAAGATTGCATGAATTTTTAATAATTTCAATGTTTAGGCTAATGGGTGTAGCTGAAATAGCCAAACCTGTGAATTAGGTGGGTGTGTCTACATCATTTCTGGACATTTACTCACATCATAGAATGACTTCACAATCACTGCTGTCTTCTTTACCCGAAACAAGGATTTAACAATTCCGATAATTAACATTAGTTTCATTTAAAGACAAATTAAACAACAGGATGAATTTCAGGAAAGTTAATGAGTAGCATTTATTAAGAATTAATGCTAATGATCAAAGGAATAATTAATAAAATGATTAAATAATGTAAAATAAATGAAATAATTAAAATTATTATATTAAATTTATAATTCTAATATGAAAATTGTAATTAAGTAAAGGCGTAATGAAATTTCATTCACGATTCGGATACATATTAAAAATATAAATATGCTGGCATATTGGCATACATTTTTACAACATTTAATTAAAAAATACCCAATGCAACCTATTAGAAAAGCTTTATTTATCTTTATAATATCTTGTTTTTTTTATCTTACAAGAGAAACTGTGGCACACAATGTGCACAGATTAATTTACAAAACTAATGCAAAAACTGTACAGTATATACATGTGAAAAACAAATACAGTTGGTTAATATGTAACAAAAAAAACTTACCATAGGCATTAGTATTATTAAGTGTTTGACACCTATTAAAAAGGTGCAACTGTAAAAATTCATATACACCCTCTAGTGATCTTATATGAGCAGCTCCTGCACAGGAAACAACTAGTGCAACTATAATACTCTATATTTGAGCAAACTTAAACATCAGACTGGTTAAATGCAACAGCAGCAGCAGATCCTGAACTAAGCGATAACTGACAGTGGTCCTCCTAATCTGTAAAAAAGGCCTACATTTTAAGACTCAAATCAAGCAAAAAACTAAAACATCAGATAGTAGAAATTCTTTTGGTCAATAACATTTAAACAAAAATAATTCAACAACATAAGGGGCCACATCAATAAGGTCTGCTGACTGTATCCAATAGAATGCACATTAACAGATCCCAGCCAATACAATACAATAAAAACAGAGCAACTTGTAATGCACAGCATCACTGCAAGAAAAAAAAAATCTAATTAGTGACCTCTATTCAATATTACCCATGCAATAAAGCGTAAGGGACAAACAAAAAGATTGAACTAGTCTCTTTGTCTGCTTTTCAGTGGTGCATGTTTAAGTAATACAGTTAAATTATGCCTCTGTTTGGCCCAAACTCACTTCTATTTTATTACAACACTCTTCCCATCTGCAGCACTAGAAATTGTTATTAGCACAAGGCAATATGTCTAAAACATGAATGGGAATGTCCCGTCTGGCTGACTATCTCCGGCAACAGATGAGTACGAAATGGTTGTGCATGAGACAGACATTGACCCTTCTTCATGAATGTTATCTATTATGAAAGAGTTCCTCTCCTGCTCAACAGGGGGCGCTGTGCGTTAATGACTGTCTGGTGTCACAGCGCCCACTAGCTGTGAGGAGGACTGGCTGCAGTAACAGATGGGTTCCTTGACTAATACACCGAGCGTGTGTGTGTGTGTGTGTGTGTGTGTGTGTGTGTGTATCTGGTGGCCGTCAGAGTCAGTTTTTGAAGGCTCCACAGTGGCTGGCTCTGCAGATAAACTCCTTCAGCATGTTGCCGTCGATCTGCCAGAACGCAGCTGTCTGTGTGACCTCAGTCAAGTGGTTCACACAGAATTTAAAACAGAACTCCTCTAGATCCTTCACATGGAAGAAAGCATGAACGTGCATTTATGAGTGACTGAACAAGTGAGCAAGAACAATCAATATTATCGGGTAAACAGGTGCCTGCTTAAGTGCTCTGGTAAGCCAGGCCTCCAGGGTGGTTTAGAGTTACCTCAGCATCATATCTGATGGCAGCAGACAGCAGAGAGAAAGCGTTCTCCACCGTGATTCCTCTCTTTATGATATGCTGGCACAACTTCTTCAGCCTGTTTTCACAGTATGAGGTTGCCAGGTCCAGTAACCCTGTGAGAGACATCCAAATCCATTCATTTTTTGATGGGTACAACAAAAATGTTCTGACCATCTTGAATTTTCTTTTGGTTTATAACACGCTTTGTAATGGCTAACTTAGTGTTTACAATTCCAAATGTTTTTGTTGTTATAGATTACAAAACACATACAAATAACTAAAACACAGAAGCATACAATACTAAATTTGGTTAAATTAACATTTTTAAATTATAGTACCGTAAATAATAACAATAGTAATAACAACAAATCATCATTATTGATGTTCTATTATTATTGTTATTGTAAATAATAATTATATCATTGCAAATAATAACAACAATAATAACTAATCATTATTTGTGTATTATTGTTATTGTAAAAAAATAATGTTACTGTAAATAATAACTAATCATTTTCAATGTATTGTTATTGTTATAAAATTAATATAAGCCATTATTAACGTATTGTTATGATTGTAAATAATAACTATTCTATTGTTACTAATAACAACAATAACTGATCTTTACTGTTGTATCATTATTGTTGTAAAAAATTATGTTACTGTAAATAATAATAACTAACCATTATTGGTGTATTGTTATTATTGTTGTTAATGTAAATAATAAATATTCTATTTTTAATAATAACTACAACAAATTATTACTAATGTATTACTATTATTATTGTTGTTGTAAATACAAATTATAATATTATTGTAAATAATAGTAATAATAATAATGATTTATAGCTTATTATTCTTTTTCTTATTATTATTATAAGAATAATATGAATAAATAATATTTTACTTTATAAATTATTTTATAGACATGTAGTCCAAAAAACAATAGTGTGAATGGAAAATTAACTGCAACCTGGCAACAAAAATCAGATAGAAGTCCATTTTAAAGCTAGGTAAAAGTCATAGTTTTTTTTCTACTTGGTGTAGTTTTGGTCCATTTTAACTGGTTTCTTATACTCATCTATAAGTTTGCTGGAATATTTTTCTGTAAAACTATGTCTCAAAATGAACCCACCAATGGCGTCTTCAGGAGGAAGATCCACACTGTCAGTGTAGAGGAACTCCAGAAAAGAGCGGTACACCGGGTACGAGAACTGGTCGATCTCAATCACTTCCTTCATATCCTCATTCCAGTGTGACTGAAACATTGATCTGAAGTGCTCACACCTGAAAAGAGGACACAGAAAATGACTAAAAGAGGAGAAATTTGTAATTAGCAGTAACCAAGTGAGCATTAAGCTCTTTAATGCACAAATTATTAATGATGAAACTGGAGTGAGGTCATCACCTGATTTTGAGAACAGCTTTATGGACATGGATGTACTTCCCGTCAACGCTGAATTTGAGGTCCGAGGTCTCAGGATTGTCAAACTCTTTTTTAAGAGACTGGGCCACAGTCAGGAAGTCATCATGCTCTGATGAAAAATACAGCACCGTTATGCAAGACCAGTGACTGCATCAGTTTCTGCAGAGTTTAGTTCTGTGTAATGCACATTAAATAACAGCAGTAATACAGCAACTGCATTAAAATTGCAACAACAGAGCAGCAAAAGAGAACTAAACATCAAAACAACAGCACAAACTCACCCATGGAAAGCAGCCGCCACATCACAGATGGCATGGCGAAGCAGGCGAAGACGTCGTCTGTGCTGCTGAAGTGTGTGAGGTGTGGCAGCACGATGGGCTGTCCACGGCACTGCCCCCACATGAACACCTGACCGCTCTGGGTCTTCGCCACAGAGGTGTGTGTGGAGTGACAGGCGGCGATTTCCACAATCCTGGTCAAAATAGCAGGAAGACATGGAGGAGGCCAAGGTGGAGGAGCAGGGACATGAGGAAGGAAACATGCAGGAGGAGAGGGCACAAACGGGAAAGGACCAAGGGAAGGGGAGGGATACATTAGTCAGATCCTTATATAAATATTATCTGCCCATTAGAGATTACAGAGTTGTTGATTTTATTTTATTTTTTCAGTTTTTATACATTTCCTCAAATTTAAACCAATCTAATAATAGCAGAGATAACTGTAGTGACCTATAGAGTTAGTACAAGTGAGCTACTCTTCAAACTACACCCAAAACAGGATGACTTGCAGGGAGCTCCACTAGACCAACAGAAAATCTCCCTGGGTTGCAACAATTCACACTAACAATGGAACTGACAAAATGCAAACGGCAACATCATGCATTCCTTATTTTGAGCCGCCAACCTAGACAGCATCATTTCAAGTTGTGGAACAAAGGTGGTTTGATTTTCTATATTTCATGTTCCATATTTTGGCCATTTTCTAGGGCAGCATCTCATAAATTGTTTGTAAGGAATCAGTGGGGAAAAAAAAAACAAAAATCACACAAAATGAAAGAAGAGATATGTCGATTACAAATATGCTAAAGTACAAGTATTGACAAGCACAAAAAGTACTGATTAAAAAAAATGACTATTTTCCTCAATATTTTGAGTGATATTTTTTGCGCTTAAGGGTATCACTTTGTTAGCTTGATTTTAAAAGATTTCAAATTTGAGTTTGCATTAGCATGTTGAAGGTTAGGACACTATACAATATAAAAAGGCAGTTCAGTGGCTTTTGGAACAGTGTTATTTATATACCATTGTAGAATTAATTAATATTTTGAATTAGCTTTTATTTTTATATGTTCAGTTTTTTCTTTATTTTAGTTTAAGTTTCAGTAATTTTGTAATGTGTTTTTGACATTTTTATTAGTTTCTTTATATTTATATTTAGCTTTATTTTATTTTTCAGTTTTAGTCATTTTAAAGGGGTCATATGATGTTGCTAAAAAGAACATTATTTTGTGTATTTGGTGTAATGAAATGTGTTTATGCGGTTTAAGTAAAAAAAAAAACGCATTATTTCCCACATATTGTACATTATTGTTTCTTCTCTATGCCCCGCCTTTCTGAAAATTAAACTTATTTTATTTCAGTTATTTGCCAAGGCAACAATTCTTAATATTTTCATCAGCTTTATTGCAATTTTTAATACTTTTAGTTAACAATAACAACTGTTTTAGAACAAAGTCAGTGAGTGAATGAGTAGGCAAGTAATAAAAAAGGAAAAGACATATTCCCAAACCCCATTACCTTTCTTTCTCAGTCATGACCTGTACAGGGCTGAGCTGGTTGCTCTTGTTGCCGGTGCCCAGCTGGCCATAAGTGTTGGCCCCCCATGCATACAGTAGGCCCTCATCGGTCAGTGCTAGAGAATGAGCGTAACCTGACGCAATCTGTGACACAGTGACATGGTTTACATTTTTTACCATTTTTCCACCACTTTTTTTTCACATTTTTTTCAAATCTGCATGGTCACATGGGTTGTGTGGAAAAACAAACTGCTTGTTTCTTCGTTGTCAATTCTTGTTGCTATTTTTTTATACATTACTGTTCAAAGGTTTGGGGTCAGTACAATTTTTTTTATGTTTTTGAAGTCTCTTATGCTCACAAAGACTGCATTCATTTACAATACAGTAAAAACAGTACTATTGTTAAATAATATTACAAATGAAAATGAAAAACATATTCCGGTCACATGATCCTTCGGAGATCATTCTAATATGCTGATTTGGTGTCCAATAAACATTTCTTATTATTATCTGTGTTAAAGACAGTTGTGCTGTATAATAATTTCCAGGATTCTTTGATGAACAGTTAATTTGAAGAACAGCATTCATTTGAAATAGAAATCTTTTTTGATCAATTGCTTTTGAATTATTGCTAAATATAAGTATTACTTTCTTTCAAATAATAATCTTACTGACCTCAAACTTTTGAACGGTAGTGTATATTAGTATGTTACATGTACAGCTAACAATCTATCTGAGAACATGGCAGATCTTGTGTTTCGTACCTGCAGCACACAGAGGCCTTGTAGTGCAATCAAACGACACGGTGTCAGCTGGTTCCCATTGTTGCCTAACCCTAGCTGGCCGTTACCATTGTAACCCCAGCCATAAACCTGAAACACACACACACACACATTTCACCACTAACAAACACGCAACTCAGCTACAGTGAGAAATACAGTAAGACGACTTGCGTGCTAAACAGTCAATAGTCAACACATAGCACTTTTACATAGCATGTTGCATATTTCCATAAAAACGAAGGATATAAATGATTAATTTCATCCCTTACCTCGCCATTATCCGCCACAGCCATGGATGAAGTCTGTCCACAAGCTATACTGACCATCACTTTATTCTGCAGAGAGTTGGACACCTTGCGAGGCGTTGGCTGGTTGGCGGTGGACCCTGAACCCACCTGACCACAGTTGTTATAGCCCCATGCAAACACCTAGGGTGACATACAATTAGCAACTAAGTTAATTAGCAGGAACGTTAGGATAAAAATAGTAATTTATAAAAACAACTGACTGGATGTCTACGAATGTTTTTGTGTGAGCTATAAAAATAAACTTGCACTACACAGCTAGCACATTTAATGAAGCTCAATCAGACAAAGACAAACAGAGTGTTACACCCAAGCTGATCTTGGTAGTCACAGAGAGAACAAAAGCCCTCACAGCTTAGCAAAAAAGGTCACACGCTCCTTATTACAGCGAGCATGATGAGGCTAAGCGGCTAACTATACTTGCTAAACAGATGAGGATAGAGAGGAGGGTTTTGTCAAAGCAAAATCCACCTAATACCCTTTAAAATGTAACCTACATATTTAACCTACTACTGGAGTGTTTCTAAAGAGACTGATAAAAGGGAAATTGTTATATGCAAAAGAAACAGGAAGGATTTTGCTTGGATTATGGGATTAGCATGTGACACGGAGCAATGTTAACATAGAAACTATATTCTGAAACTGTCTGATTAGTCCATGCCATCAGATTCGCAGTATCTCAATATTTTGACCCTAATTAATGGACATATCTGTGCATCAATAGGTTGATCTGGGTATTTTGACCAACAGGCAATGTTTTAAATTAACCTAAATGTGAGAAACACAGCTAAATCAGTCTGTGGTCCACTAAAGCCTACAAGTCTCATACCCCAAATAAAAGAGGACATCTCTAAGAAATACTTCTTTAAAAAAGAGATCATGTGATAAAGTTTAATAGGGTTTCTGTGCTGTCCCTTTTTCTTTGTCTTATTGTAAAGCAAGTTCACCAACAATGGCATTGCTAGTCTAGCAGCTGAAGATCTGGACAATTCAGTAGTTTGATTCTATGCCATCTTTTAAGATTTTTAAATGCCCTACTCCTGGCCTAACTATCAAAAACTTTCACAACCCTTGAGTTTTGTTTAGTATTATTACCTCAATCAGACTAATACTGCATGCACTGATGTGTCTCCTGTTACCTGTGGAAATGTTCTTTTAGAACACATTAAAACACACATCGTTTCTTTTACCTATGATCTTTCAGCACCTTTTATATATTTTAGCATTTTATATATTTTATATAACGTAAATCTATTGACATTTTCGTCAACGAATAAAAACGAGACGAAAATGTTAGGGAGGGACGATTTGGGAAGAGATTCATTCAGAACGAATCTGCTGCGTGGTTCGGAGGTAAGATGCGTACATATGAACTGGCGGGACATAAGCTAACATTCACTTGCTGCTCAAAAATGTCAGTATGTGGGAGTAAGAGAAGAGCAGACATATGGATAAATCTGACGACGCAAGAGAGAACTCAATTCGGTCCGGTTTTCTGAGCGCAGACACTGAAGCATACACACACATAAATCGCGTCTCACAGCGCGCGAGTACTCTTTCGCATCGTATGAACGGAGAATTACACACAAAATGATGTCGAATTGTTCGTTTTGATGAGTATTCATGTAAACACAGTTGATTGTGTCTTAAGTTAACGTAAACAGCAGGGAGAACGTGTATCAGTACATTGCATCCATTGCAGCTGTGCATTCGGTTTTAAAGGGATTGCAGCCTAATTTAGTTGCTAGTGTACGAGTCATTGATGTTAATCAAGCAACAACAGAAAGACAGAAAATCACGCACAGCTCTTGACTGAAAAACTTTAGTAGCCCTAAAGATTAATCTAAATGTATTTATAAAAATAAATGTCTGCTTGAAAGAATAAATATGGTAAACAAGTTGCTATAAAGAATGCATAATTAGCCTATATAACCATTAGTATTTAATTAAAAAGAAGACCATGGTCTTGTTCTTTATGAGAAGTGGTTTTATTTAATTTTATAGAAGCCCATTTCCATCACATATGAAAAAAATATTACCATTTACCAAAGCATGATTCGGCATATGAGGTCATAATTATTACAAACATTTACGAGATTCTAAGTCATGCTTATGAGATAACAGGTCAAATTGATGGGATGAAAAGTCAAAATTATGAGATAATTTGACATAACAAAAATGCCATAATTATGCCACAAAGCAAAGCATTTACTAAAGTTTTTTTTCTTATGTGGTAAAAATGGGCTCCCTACTCATGCAATGCATCAATTAAGTGTGATGGAAAAACAGTTCCCAAGCCTCACCTCACCCTCATGGGTCAGAGCCAACGAGTGGTGAGAACCACAGGCCACCTCAGTCACCCTCTTATTCTGCAGGTTAGTGGTCACCAAAATAGGAGACACACCTTGATTGGTCGTCCCATTGCCCAACTGACTGTATCCATTATGCCCCCATGCATACAACTCCCCCTCTGGAAGTAGAAAAAGGGCTTTGAATAAGACAGTAGTATAAAAATACATACCCATTACTGTATTTAAGCATTTACATAGAAGATCTATAATGTATCCAGACAGGCAAGTGATTTTACATTATGTCTCTACTTTAACTAGAGGTGAAGCCACAAAATACTTTCAATTTACATAGAATATAGAGATTTAAGCTTGTACTTACCTTGTGTAGCCAGCAGAACATGAGGGCCACTGCCATAGCTCAAACTGATCAGCTTCTTTCCAGTCAGACTGTCCAGCTTTTTAGGAACAATTGTGCTCTGACTGTCTCCAGTGCCCAGACAATTACTGCAGTTCAAACCCAACACGTACACCTGTGCCAGGACATCCAGATTCATTTTCATATGAAGGTACAGAAGCCCTTCATGAACCTTCATACAAACTGCAAGATACAAACTACTAAAACAGGTCATGTAAGCTTACACCACCAAGAGCCACACAGACAAAGCAGATACTTGATTTTCAGTTGATTTTAAGATACTATCAGGTTCTTGATCAGCTTACTTCGTCATCGTGGGTGATGTAGATGGCCTCATTCGCAAATGCTCCAAAGATGCATGCCTGTCGTATGGAGGCGAGCTCCTGTGTACTCAAGAGCGTGAAGAGAGGCCACTTACTCACATCCACCATGGCAACACTCCTTTGTAAGCGCAGGGGATGGGGTTTGGAGACGAGAAGATACCTGCTGTGCGTGCCTTTGAAACAAGACACATACACGACTACTCAACAGTATGTAATAATTACGATTTTTAAATGTGTTTAAAAGATGTCTCTCATGCAAAATACATTAAAAACAGTAATATTCTAAAATAAGGTTACACTTTATTTTGATAGTGCACTTTGGACATTCTACGAACTATAAGTAACTTTGCAACTACATGTCAAATAACTCTCCGAGTAGACTGTTAGGTTTAGGGCTAGTAGAATAAGTTGACATATACTTGCAAAGTTTCTTATAATCAGTATGTTGTATGTTGTGGACCCATCAAAATAAAGTGTTAGAAGATATTAAGCAGACAGTCTACTAATACTCTAATGACTGCTAGTTGACATGTAGTTGCAAAGTTACTTACTGTTAGTAGAATGTCCAAAGTGGACTATCAAAACAAAGTGTTACCTAAAATAATATTACCATTTAAAAAAAAGTTTTGCTTAAATATATTTTAAAATATAATGTATTCCTGTGATGACAAAGCTGAATTTACAGCATAATTACTCCAGTCTTCAGTGTCACACGATTCTTCAGAAATCATTCTGATATGCTGATTTGCTTCTCAGCTCAATTATTATTTCAAGATCAAGCTGGGATTAATTGCCCTAACAAGGGTGACAGATGATCACTGCACTTGGTAAGATATTATACCCTATGATACCACAGCTCACAATAATTTACACGACAACACACTTGCATAATATACAAAAAGGCTTTTTTGTTTGGAGCAGCACTGAACTGATGAACCTAAAGCCTATTTGTCTGTTATTTTATCACTGAAACACTTCGGTGCAATTCTTTATAACGGACCAACTGCTAAAACTCACTAGTTACAGCTTTTATTGTATCTGTGTCACTTTTACAGCTGATCGGGGACCAGTCGCGACCGTGTGGCAAAATCCAAAGTAAAACCAAAAAGTAAACAGAAGCACTGTCTGCTAGTGTGTAATGTGCATGCGAAATAAATCGCTAAATCAGCAGGGTTGGTTTAAACGTATCTTCTTGCAGGCTTGCGTAACTGTGTGTAATAGCAAAGCTCAGTTAGCCTGACAGCTACTGCATCAGGACATGAGATAGACTCAGAATACAGAAACAACGGTTTTCATCAAGACAACGCCACAAAACCTACCTAGTGACTACAGGAGTTTGAGACCATGCAGTTAACGAGTTATCCAGTCCCTCTAGGAGCCTGTAGCGCCAGCAGTATGACCACGGAAACGCGTTCACGCCAGATAGAAAACCAACTCACTTGTTTCCTGATCACTTCTTCTTCTTAATGTTTAACGGCGGTTGGCATCCATTACCGCCACCATCTTTTCCTGATCACTGTTGCTACGGCTCCATGAATGACTGCTCAACTGTCCAATCACAGGCTGCTTGTACGTCGCCCCTACTTCATGGATTGGTTGTAGCAGAAGGCTGGAGATAAAGGAGGCGGGACTTCACAAAATGAGGATGACAAAATACACGCGAAAATAAGCCACATGTTGATAATAATAATAATAATAATAATAGAAATAAAAGAGGGAGGAAGGGAAAAAAATCTGTTAAACCGTAATGTAAAAATTTATTATTATTATTATTATTATCCCACTTCATATTAGGTGGGTTTAACTACTATGTACTATAAAAATATAAAAAAACGGCAGGTAAATTGTAGGCCTACTCATTGTTTTTGATGTTGAATTGCAAAACACCTTTGTTGCTACTGAAGTGGGATATGGTTAAAGTTAGGCCAGGATTATCAGAATCAGAATCAGAATAAGAAGAGCTTTATTACCAAGTATGTTTACACACACAAGGAATTTGACTTCTGCCACTCTGATCTCCTTTGTTAGTCTGTTCCCGGCCTGGTTATACAAGATTTTATCCCCACTTCTGTAAGCATCCTCATAGAAGAATCGCGGAGCTCAGCGTCCTTGCTGCCATTTGCGGCGCCATGCAAAGTAGTTATATGTACTATATAGCATGATTAGTAGTTAGGATTGGTTTAGGTTAGGGTTAAAAATGGGTTAAGGGTCGATAATGTAATTACAGATGTAACTACAGAAATTAATTACATGAGTAACTAGACTACATGCAGGATTTTTTTTAAATGTTAGTACAATGTAAAACGCTCGGTTCCCTGAGATAAGGTAACGAGTGTTGCGTCGTCGTTTGACGACTGCTTGGGGAAACTCCTGTTTACTCTATTACTGAAGCCTGATTGGTTAACGTTTGTGTAGTTGCACAAACCAATGGCGCTCAAGCCCACCAGAAGGAGCGGAGCTGACCGTTATATAAGTCGGCTCGGAGCGCCATCACATCAGAATCATACAACTGAAGCGACAGCCATCGATTTGCGTGCAACTATAGCACAGCCAGTAACGCAACGCTCGTTCCCTTATCTCAGGGAACCAAGGTTATGTGAGTAACCGGAGCCTTCCCTATCGAAAGGTAACTCCCGTTGCGTCGTCGTTTGATGCCTGCTTGGGGAACGTATCCAGTAGCGCCGTTCTATAAGCAGATGCAGCACTTAGCCTGCTCCGCGAGCTCAGCCAAGGAACGCTCAGTGAGGGCTCCATAAGCCTGAGCCACAAAGAGACCCGAGAACGTTCTGAGGTCTACTTGAGATAACTCTCCCCACCCGAGGGGAAGGGGGGGGGGTAAGCATTAGGTGGATAAGACCCGCGCCTGCAGGGCAGCGACGTCCAAATTGTAGAATCTAATAAAGGTAGACGGCGACGACCAGCTGGCAGCCGCACAAATCTCCCCAATTGAGATTCCACTGGACCAGGCCCAAGAGGAGGCCATTCCTCTGGTGGAATGGGCCCTCACACCTAAAGAGCATTGCAAGCCAGCTGAGGCATAAGCCAGAGCTATAGCAACTACTATCCAATGAGATATTTTCTTTGCTTTGTGACAGGCAGCCCTTTAGAGCGACCTCCAAAGCACACAAAAAGCTGCTCTGATTGTTTGAAAGACTCTGAGCACTTAATGTAAACTCGCAGTGCCCGGAGAAGGCATAACAAGTTGGGACTTTGTTCGCCATCCGTTCCAGGGAGGGCTAAAAGGGAAATGACCTGGGCTCTAAACGGAGTTGAGAGCACCTTCGGTACATAACCGCTGTGCAGTTGAAGAATGACTTTACAGTCGTTGGGTCCAAACTCAAGACAGGAAGCACTGACAGACAGGGCTTGCAAGTCCCCTACTCGCTTGACTGATGCCAGGGCCAAAAGCAGAGCAGTTTTGAGTGTCATGACCCTTAAGCCGGCTGTTTGAAGTGGCTCAAAGAGGGAGCTCTTGAGAGCTCTCAGGACTATAGACAAGTCCCATACTGGCACCATCCTAGGGCGAGGAGGGTTTAACCCTCCTTTAACCCTTTGACAATACTTTATTGAACCTTTTCTGATAAGTGTGCGCTGCAAACGCGAGCATTTTTGACGATTGTTTCTGTCCAGCCTGCTTGTTTTATCGCGTTTAACCACAGCTGTCGTCGGTTTTTTTGTCTGGCAGTGGCAGCAGGTATGCGATAAAATTTCTAATTTGAGGCTATATTACGTCGATTCTGGCACCCAACGTCACAACAAGATGATATTTTAAGCTCCTTATGTAGCCGAATCTGCGTTGGTTTGAATTGGCCGCCTCCAGTTTTTGCTTTGTATTGCCTCCACTCCAGCTTGCGCTGTGACGTAACTGTGACGTCGGCCCTAAAAGGGTCTATAGCCACTCGTAGCAGTAGAATACAACGTAAAATCTTAGAATAAACATTTATATATTTCTAAGTTTTAACTTAGCAGTAATAAACATTCAAATATATTCAAAATATTAACTTTCATATATTATACATATTGTCAAGTCATAGCGTCAGGATTGTTTGCATTATTTACAGTTCAGTTTCTGGGATCCCGGAGCAGGTTGGCCCGCATACAAAGTTGACAAACCTGTTTAAAAATCTGGATCAACTAGTCGAGCTGAAACACACGGTCAGTCCTGAGCTAAAGTTTCAGATACATATAGCCATTCACAAAGCGTCGCTTCTGCTTTGCATACGATTTCCCTCGGGGGAAAAAAAGATAATTCGCTGAGTGAAATTAAGGATTCCGCCAGATACCAGTCCACACCTACCGAGATAAAGACAACAAGAGTCCGTAAGTTCAATCAGAAGCACGTCTCTCACATCAGGATGGGTGCCATTAAGTCTAAACGGTTTAAAAAGACTCCTCAGGTTCTCCTCATGGGCTTGGATTCGGCTGGGAAGTCTACTTTGCTGTACAGACAGCAGCGTGGTGTGGTGATGGAGACCTCGCCTACTGTGGGTTTCAATGTTGCGACTGTAGAGCTGGACAAGAAGACCTCACTGTCCGTGTGGGATATTGGGGGACAAGGAACCATGAGGCCCAATTGGAAATACTACCTAGAGGGATGTAAGGTCCTGGTTTTCGTGTTGGACAGCAGTGATCGTGCCAGGATGGGAGAAGCTCAGAAAGCCCTGAAGAAGATTCTGAGTCATGAGCATTTGAAAGGAGTTCCCCTGATGGTGCTGGCTAACAAAAAAGATCTGCCAAACTCTCTGACTATTAGAGAGGTGTCTACATTGATGGAGCTGGATAGTTACACAGATCGGGTGTGGGAGATCCAAGCTTGCAGCGCCCTGAAGGGACTGGGTCTCCAACAAGCCTTTCTCTCTATAGCTAAACTAATGCATAAAGCATAAGCAAGATACTACCTAGCTGAGTAGGGAATACAAAGAATTTAGTTCAAACTTGACAGTCGCCTTTTATCTAAGCGTGAACTTAATAACAAGCAAAATGAAGAGGTTTGATCATGGTACTATCATACTAAGACCAAGAATGTTGGGAAATAATTGACTGATTGAACTACTGCACTTGTTCATTGTTGTTATATATGCTGTAAATATTATGTTTATGTTTTACTTGTCTTCATGTGCTGTACTTCTAGCATGTGCACTGTAATTACTGCAAACATCTTTTCCTTTGTAAATGAATGCCATGTTGCCGTGTGAAGATTAATTTGGCAACCAAAAGTGATTTCGATGAGAATCCTGTGATACATACATTTTGATATTGGAAACTTTATTGAAGAAAATTCATAGAAATCAGATGCTTTTAAATGCAATTTCGGTTTTAGGTAACACTTTACAATAAGGTTCAATTTGTCAATTTAGGTTAACTACATTAGTTTGAAACATTTACATCAAAAATAAGCAAACAGGTGTGATGAAACATGAATTGAACCAATTTGTGCTTTCTATCGTACTGGTCTGGATAAGGTAGTTTGGTAAGGGGGATTAGTGGGAAACTGATCCTAGATCAGTGTAAAAAAGCTAAATAAGGATTCACTGTTTAGGTGTCATAGGGCAGGAATGCAGATAGTATGTTGCTATGAGTCAGTATTTGGTGTGAACATCCTTTGTGTCTTTAACACTGCAATTATGCAAAGATACGCCTTAACAACTGTTCCTCTAATATTCTGTGTACGCAATAAATGTGTATAATACATCAACTGCAGTACATCCTCTCCACATCTCATTCTGTTCACTTTGAAAGGCTAATTATAACTCTGATAATGATATGGTTGATTACTAACGACCAGACTTCCTCTGATTTTATCTGTTATTTTTCTTTGGATACTGATGAATTCTTCTTAAATCCCTCCATGACTGCCAGAGGAGGAGTCCAGGCACCACCACCCAGATTCCATTGAAGAACACCAGGTAGACCCACAGGTACAGCCAGTTGCTGGTGTTCAGGTTAGGGCTTCCGATTAGCCAGTCTGGACAGAAGGTCATCCAGTCCCCCTACAACTCACACACACACAGTGTGATCTGAACAAAGTGCCTGGTTCAGAAAAAAAGTGAGACATTCACACAATTGCATAAAACGGTGTTAAAGGTCAAGAACCCCTTAATAATCATTTTATTTGCAGATTGTGGGATGGAGTTTGAATTGGAAATGAAAGCTGGATTGAGTTTGGCAAGTGGACAGAATCTAAAATGGATTGTATTTACATTAGAACAGATCTTTCTTCAGTATTATTTTGAAATCTGTTGCTTGATTTACCTGTAGTGCTTGTCTTTGATAATGGCGTAGACTAGAAGCAGAGCCAAAGAACCATCTAAAACCACTGTCAGAAGCTCCAGAGATACTATTGTCGGGTCTGAGTACAACCAGCGCTCATCTGCCTTGCCATATTCTTTCCCTGTTGAGTATTTTAATATTAATTAAATATTAAAGCTGCAGTCCGTAAGTTTTTCCTCTTTGTCGCCATCTCTGTTTGAAAACCTGGAATTGCAGTTACATGTGGAATTATCTTCATTGTGTGGGTTGTACTCTGGCACGGCTCCAGTGCGGATGAATCTAATGTTTTGAGGAGTATGTGTGGCAGTCAGTCACTGCACCGGTGTGAATCCTATACTTAGTAATCACAGATTCTAGCCTATGTCTTGGAATATATGACCCAAATAAGAATTTTCACCATATATTGTCATCTGAACAAGTAAGTAACAAGTCTGCCACGTTTGTTCTGACCAACTGAGGAAAAAAGCATTACAATAAATCGCGCTACCAATGGTGATTAAATCTAAAGATCAGTTAGCTCATATCACATCAAACCGTTCAAATTATTATTATTGTTATACTTTATTCTAAAATGATTAATGTTAACAACATCGGCATTGGTGACTATGAGTATAGTGTGTATTAGCGTGTAGATTTCAATTTCTGTACAGTCTAATCTCTA